GGCTATTAAGCCGGTGACGACGAACGCCGAAGCCTGCCCGAACAAGGAGGGGAGGCAGCCTCGGCGGAAGTCGTGACAGTACCCCCCCCCCCCCCCCCTTGATGCGCAGCTCCAACAGCGCGCCGACCCCGGCCTCGGGGACGGCCAGGAGGACGCGGAGCAGGGCGAGCCGGATGGCGACAGTGGAAATCCCGCAACAGGGAGGGATCGAGCACCATTCCTCCGGACCGTACCCCTCCCACTCCACAAGGTACTGAAGGCCCCCCACCCGACGCCTCAAATCCAGGATGGAACGGACAGAGTACGCCGGGGCCCCCTCGATGTCCAGAGGAGGTGGAGGAACCTCCCGCACCTCAGACTCCTGGAGCGGACCAACCACCACCGGCCCGAGGAGAGACACATGAAACGAGGGGTTATTACGGTAATCAGGGGGAAATAATAACCTATAAGTGACCTCGTTGATTCTCCTCAGGACTTTGAATGGCCCCACAAACCGCGGGCTCAGCATTCCGGCAGGGCAGGCGGAGGGGCAGATTCCGGGTCGAGAGCCAGACCCGATCCCCCGGTACGAAGACCGGGGCCTCACTGCGGTGGCGGTGAGCGTTGGCCTTCTGACGACGCACGGCGTGCTGGAGGTGAACGTAGGCAGCGTCCCACGTCTCCTCCGCGCGTCAAAACCAGTCATCCACCGCAGGAGCCTCGGTCTGGCTCTGGTGCCATGGTGCCTGAACCGGTTGGTAACCTAAAACACATTGGAATGGCGTTAGGTTAGTAGAGGAGTGGCGGAGGGAGTTCTGGGCATATTCTGCCCATGGCAAGAACACCGACCACTCCCCCGGCCCGTCCTGGCAGTAGGACCGTAGGAACCTACCCACATCCTGATTTACCCGTTCCACCTGCCCATTTGACTCGGGGTGGAACCCAGAGGTCAGGCTGACCGAGACCCCCAGAAGTTCCATGAACGCCTTCCAGACCTTGGACGTGAACTGGGGACCTCGGTCGGACACTATAACCTCTGGTACCCCGTAGTGCCGGAAGACGTGAGTAAACAGGGCCTTCCGCAGTTTGCAGGGCCGTGGGGAGACCGGGCAGAGGAAGGAAGCGGCAGGACTTGGAAAAGCGGTCCACAACGACCAGGATGGTGGTGTTACCTTGGGAGAGGCGAAGATCAGTCAAAAAATCAACACTTAGGTGAGACCATGGTCGTTGTGGAACTGGTAAAGGTTGCAACTTACCCGCTGGGAGGTGCCTAGGTGCCTTACTCTGGGCGCACACCGAGCAGGAGGAGACGTACACCCTCACGTCCTTAGCCAAGGTAGGCCACCAGTACTTTCCGGTCAGGCAGCGCACTGTCCGACCGATACCTGGGTGACCAGAGGAGGGTGATGTGTGTGCCCAGTAGACCAGACGATCACGGGTAAGAGCAGGCATGTACCGCAGCCCAGCTGGACACTGAGGTGGAGATGGATCTGTGCGTAATGCCTGCTCTATATCCGCGTCCATCGCCCAAACTACCGGCGCCACAATGCAGGAGGCCGGGAGTATGGGGGTGTTGTCTTTGGGCCTCTCCTCCGTGTCATACAGCCGGGACAGTGTGTCTGCCTTCACGTTCTTCGTACCTGGAATGTATGACAGTGTAAAATCAAACCAGGTGAAGAATAGGGCCCACCTGGCCTGGCGAGGATTCAGCCTCCTCGCTGCCCGGATGTACTCCAGGTTACGGTGGTCCGTCCAGATGAGGAAAGGGTGTTTCGCCCCTTCGAGCCAATGCCTCCACACGGTCAAAGCTCGGACAACAGCCAACAGCTCCCGATCACCAACATCGTAGTTCTGCTCCGCCGACCTGAGCTTCTTAGAGAAGAAGGCACAGGGGCGGAGCTTGGGTGGCGTGCCCGAGTGTTGCGATAGGACCGCGCCTATCCCTACCTCGGACGCATCCACCTCCACTACGAACGGTAGTGATGGATCGGGGTGGGCCAGTACCGGTGCTGAGGTGAACAGACCCTGCAGTTTGCTGAAGGCCAGGTCAGCCTTAGCAGACCAGCGGAGCCGGGACGGCCCACCCTTCAACAGGGATGTAATGGGAGCTGCGGCCTTGACAAAGCACCAGATAAACCTTCGATAGTAGTTGGCGAAGCCAAGGAAGCGCTGCACCTCCTTAACCGTGGTTGGATTTGGCCAATTACGCACGGCTGAAATGCGATCTCCCTCCATCTCCACACCTGAGGTGGTAATGCGGTATCCGAGGAAGGAGACGGACTGCTGGAAAAACATAAACTTATCTGCCTTGGCATAAAGGTCATTTTCCAACAGTCGGGCCAGCACTTTGCGAACCAGGGACACATGCTCAGCGCGCGTGGCGGAATACACCAGGATGTCATCGATGTAGACCCCCACACCGCGACCAAGCATGTCCCGAAACACCTCATTCACAAAGGACTGGAAGACGGATGGAGCATTCATCAAACCGTAGGGCATTTTCAGGTATTCATAATGCCCCGTGGTTGTGCTGAATGCTGTCTTCCACTCATCCCCCTCCCGAACACGCACCAGGTTGTATGCACTCCTGAGATCTAATTTGGTGAAGAAGCGCACCCCATGCATTGACTCAATCACTGAAGGAATGAGGGAGAGAGGATAACTAAATCTTATCGTCTCCTTGTTCAGTGATCGATAATCAATGCACGGGCGCAGACCGCCGTCTTTCTTCTTCACAAAGAAGAATCTCGAGGAGGCGGGTGAAGTGGAGGGACGTATATACCCCTGGCCCAGGGACTTGGTGACGTATGTTTCCATAGCCACCGTTTCAGCCTGCGACAGGGGGTACACATGACTCCTGGGAGGTACTGCGTCTACCCGAAGGTTTATCGCCCAATCCCCCGCCCAATGACTTGGTAATTTTGTCGCCTGCGTCTTTGAAAACGCGTGCGCCAGATCGAGGTAGTCGGGGGGAATGCGTACGGTGGAAGTACCGTCTGGACTTTCCACCGTGGTTGCACCAACGGAGACACCTACCCTGACACTCTCGCAACCACCCCGTGAGAACCCTCTGCGGCCGAAGAAGGTGGGGTTGTGGATGGCTAGCCAAGGGATACCTAATACCACAGGGAAAGCAGGAGACTCAATAATCGAAAAAGTAACCTGCTCACAATGAGTCTCCTGGGTGATCATGGTGACTAGTACAGTAACTTCCTTAACAAACCCGGACCCTAATGGTCGACTATCAAGTGCTCTGATGGGGAGTGGAATGGATAGGGGAACCAATGAAATGACTTGACGGCGTGAGAATGCCCTGTCCATAAAGTTCCCAGCTGCGCCTGAATCAACTAGCGCCTTACACTGATGAACTACCATGTGATCGGGAAAGTAGATAGGTAGGGTACAGCGCGCAGCAGAGGGCTCTGAATGAGTGTGGGTGTTCGATACCTGGGGTGATGCGAGAGTGCCCTGCCTGCCACCTCCAGACCCCAAAAAGTGTTGACGACTACGTGTGGTGTACTGTCCCTTCGTGCCACCAGTGGCACTGTCGCTGTCATCCTCCACTCTCTCGGACGGCGGCTCCACCCAGCTCCATCAGCTCGGGATCCGAGTCGTCCGGGGTGGAAACGGGCAGACCCCTACCAGGACGTCCTTTGGCTGCCAGCAGGTTGTCCAAACGGATGACCATGTCCACCAGTTGCGTGAAAGACAACATGGTGTCCCGGCCGGCTAGCTCCCGTCGGACGTCCTCCCGCAGATGGCACCGGAAATGGTCGATCAGGGCCCGCTCGTTCCACCCGAACCCCGCTGCAAGCGTCCGAAACTCCAACGCGAAGTCTTGCGCGGTCCTCGTCCCCTTAGGTGGACCAGCCGCTCGCCCGCCTCTCGACCCTCGGGCGGGTGATCGAAGACCGCCCGAAAGAGACGAGAGAACTCCCCGTAGTTCTCCAACGCAGCTCCTCCTTCGTTCCAAACCGCGTTGGCCCACTCCAGGGCTTTTCCCGAGAGGCAGGAAACAAGGACGGACACCTTCTCCCGCTCTGATGGGGCCGGCCTGATGCTGGAGAAGTAGAGCTCCAGTTGGAGGAGGAATCCTTGGCAGAGCGCCGCCGTCCCGTCGAACACCCGTGGTCGGGATTTCTGGATCCCTCCGGGTGCTGGGGTGTAGGTGGCTGGATCCGGTTGACCAGCTGGTCTCGACAGATCAGGTCCTCTCCTCTCCAGGCGTTGGACGACCTGAAGAACCTGATCCATCGCTTTCCCCAAGCTGGCCAGCATCGTGGAATGCTCCTGAACCCGTGCCACGACTCCAGGCATGCGCTCCTCTCCCGCTGACTCCATAGCGGGTGGGTGATTCTGTGATGAGTGTGATAGAAGGAGTCAGGCGCAGGAGGGTAAATCACAGAATACAGACTTTATTCCGTCGTACACAAATGCGCTGGATAGCGACACACGGAAACAGGCACAGGGGAAACTATCTACCCTGGCAATACACGGTACGGGGGATCCTCCAACAATATACAGGCACAGGGGAAATATCTACCCCAGCAATACAAAGGGAGAGTAGCTCCCCCGAGCTACACTACTCTCACAAATAACAGTCACCCACAAGGACAAGGGGGGCAGAGGGAACACTTATACACAGACTAATGAGGGGATAAGAACCAGGTGTGTGTAATTGACAAGACAAGACAAATGGAATGATGATATATGGAGCGGCAGTGGCTAGTAAGCCGGTGACGACGAACGCCGAAGCCTGCCCGAACAAGGAGGGGAGGCAGCCTCGGCGGAAGTCGTGACAGGTGGCTATTTGGATTTGTTTAACGCTTTTTTTGTTACTACATGATTCCATATGTGTTGTTTCATAGTTTTGATGTCTTCACTATTATTCTACAATATAGAAAATAGTAAAAAGAAAGAAAGAACCTTGAATGAGTAGGTGTTCTAAAACTTTTGACCGGTAGTATACATCACTGGTTGGCACTACTGCAGCTGGTACACACAGTCAGTATTGGGGTACTGAGGTAGGTTGAGCTGGTGCTTCTTATCCATGGCAAGAGGCACAAAACGTCCCCCCAGATAGCGGTAGCGTCAATATGGAAGTGTGTTGCTGACTTCTTAGGGGCAGTCAGGGACATGAGCATGTCTGGCTGGAGTCCATCTGTGCTGCCCTGCTCCACATCCCAACCTGAAGAAGACATACATTATGTGAGGATATCACTATCACAAATAGAAACATTTTGGGCCAGCTAATAGACTTAAGGCACACTGTATTGAACCTATGGATTCAACAAATAACATTCCTTATGATTTCTGAACAAAATACTGCCCAAAATGTTGTTTTTATCAAGCCAAGGACAGTACCTTTTGCGATTGAGATATAGCATAGACTGGATCTTTTTACTCAACTAGTTTATCAGTGAAAAACACCAATATCTGCCCTCTAGATTTTAGTTTGAAGTGAGTTAGGTGCCCACCCACCTGAGGGGATGTCGGTACTAACTATGGGTCTTCTTCAGCACGTCCAGGATGGAGTCAAAATGCTCCCGAACTGCACCCTTGAAGCTAAAGCCAAAGATGGCGTCTATCACCAGGTTGTAAGCCTCGTCAATCACCATTGCCTAAGAGAAGCATCTCTGTCACTGTCAGCATTAACACAACCTGCACAGCATCACATATACACACACTCCGAGATAACTACATCAACAACCGGGGCGGCAGGTAGCTTAGTGGGTAAGAGCGTTGTGCCAGTAACCGAAAGGTCGCTGGTTCTAATCCCCGAGCTGACTAGGTGAAAAATCTGTCTGTGCCCTTAAGCAAGGCACTTAACCCTAATTGCTCCTGTAAGTCGCTCTGGATAAGAGCGTCTGCTAAATGACTAAAATGTAAAATGTAAAATGTAAACAACCTTGCATACAACAACACTGGCACTCACAGATAAACTCATGTGAGGTAGCCCAGGAGTCAGGACACACACCTAACAACCAAATAGACTGCTGTGAGATTAACACAGGAGCCATGGCCCAGTACTACCTCAGGCATCTCAGTCAAGAAAGGGATGTCTATCTTCTCACACTGGGTGGTCAGGCCCTGGAACAATGGTTTATTTGGCCTCTTTGGGTACAGAATAGTAGGTACAAAGCATAGTCAGTATACACTCAGAACCACAGACTGTAGGTATGTTACTTAGTAATAAATACTAATTGGCCTATTTGACAGTCACTATTACAGAAAAAGCACAGCATTGATTCCAAAAGCAATAGATGCCTTTAAGAAGAATTGGTTCATTATAACATGAACCAATTCTCTAATCTCTACTGCATGCCTTGATTTTCAGAAACATATTGGATGAGAAGGATGAGACACTCACAAAGAATTTGAGATGTCTGGCACAGACCAGGCCATCTCCTCCATTGTTACTTGGGCCACAAATCACAAGCAACGAGGGTCTGGCTTTGACCAGAGAGCTGGTGGGGCAGGCCTGGAACAGAAGAAAGGCAACAGGTGAATAAAAAGGTTGCCAGAAAGCCACACTTAAAACACGTCAAGCCTAAAACCATTTAAACCAGCCTAAAGTAATAATAATAATAATAATATGCCATTTAGCAGACGCTTTCATCCAAAGCGACTTACAGTCATGCGTGCATACATTTTTGTGTATGGGTGGTCCCGGGGATTGAACCCACTACCCTGGCGTTACAAGCGCCGTGCTCTACCAGCTAGGGTAGGGCCCTCATGACTTGAAACTGTGACATTTCACCATTACACCATGCAGAGTCTAGACTAAATTAATAGGCTGAGAAAGGCTGGACTGATGGCTCGTAGGCCTTTTGTAAGGCAGGTCCTCACCAGACATCACCGGCAACAATGTCGACTATGGGCACAAACCCTCCGTCGCTGGACCAGACAGGACTGGCAAAAAGTGCTCTTCACTGACGAGTCGCGGTTTTGTCTCACCAGGGGTGATGGTCGGATTCGCGTTTATCGTCAAAGGAATAAGCGTTCCACCAAGGCCTGTACTCTGGAGCGGGATCGATTTGGAGGTGGAGGGTCCGTCATGGTCTGGGGCGGTGTGTCACAGCATCATCGGACTGAGCTTGTTGTCATTGCAAGACATCCTCCTCCCTCATGTGGTACCCTTCCTGCAGGCTCATCCTGACATGACCCTCCAGCATGACAATGCCACCAGCCATACTGCTCGTTCTGTGCGTGATTTCCTGCAAGACAGGAATGTCAGTGTTCTGCCATGGCCAGCGAAGAGCCCGGATCTCAATCCCATTGAGCACGTCTGGGACCTGTTGGATCAGAGGGTGAGAGCTAGGGCCATTCCCCCCAGAAATGTCCGGGAACTTGAAGGTGCCTTGGTGGAAGAGTTGGGTAACATCTCACAGCAAGAACTGGCAAATCTGGTGCAGTCCATGAGGAGGAGATGCACTGCAGTACTTAATGCAGCTGGTGGCCACACCAGACACTGACTGTTACTTTTGATTTGGACCCCCCCCTTTGTTCAGAGACACATTATTCAATTTCTGTTAGTCACATGTCTGTGGAACTTGTTCAGTTTATGTCTCAGTTGTTGAATCTTGTTATGTTCATAAAGATATTTACACATGTTAAGTTTGCTGAAAATAAAGTGAGAGGACGTTTCTTTTTTTTGCTGAGTTTATATACACACACACAAAAAAAAAAATATATATATATATACAGTTGAAGTCTGAAGTTTACATACACCTTAGCCAAATACATTTAAACTCAGTTTTTCACAATTCCTGAAATGTAATCCTAGTAAAAATTCCCTGTCTTAGGTCAGTTAGGATCACCACTTTATTTTAAGAATGTGAAATGTCAGAATAATAGTAGAGAGAATTATTTATTTCAGCTTTTATTTCTTTCATCACATTCCCAGTGGGTCAGAAGTTTACAAACACTCAATTAGTATTTGGTAGCATTGCCTTTAAATTGTTTAACTTGGGTCAAACGTTTTGGGTAGCCTTCCACAAGCTTCCCACAATAAGGTGGGTGAATTTTGGCCCATTCCTCCTGACAGAGCTGGTGTAACTGAGTCAGGTTTGTAGGCCTCCTTCCTCGCACACGCTTTTTCAGTTCTGCCCAGAAATGTTCTATAGGATTGAGGTCAGGGCTTTGTGATGGCCACTCCAATACCTTGAATTTGTTGTCCTTAAGACATTTTGCCACAACTTTGGAAGTATGCTTGGGGTCATTGGCCATTTGGAAGACCCATTTGCGACCAAGCTTTAACTTCCTGACTGATGTCTTGAGATGTTGCTTCAATATATCCACAGAGTTTTCCTTCCTCATGATGCCATCTATTTTGTGAAGTGCACCAGTCCCTCCTGCAGCAAAGCACCCCCACAGCATGATGCTGCCACCCCCGTGCTTCAAGGTTGGGATGGTGTTCTTCGGCTTGCAAGCATCCCCCTTTTTCCTCCAAACATAACGATGGTCATTATGGCCAAACAGTTCTATTTTTGTTTCATCAGACCAGAGGACATTTCTCCAAAAAGTACGATCTTAGTCCCCATGTGCAGTTGCAAACCATAGTCTGGCTTTTTTTATGGCGGTTTTGGAGCAGTGGCTTCTTCCTTGTTGAGCGGCCTTTCAGGTTATGTCGATATAGGACTCGTTTTACTGTGGATATAGATACTTTTGTACCTGTTTCCTCCAGCATCTTCACAAGGTCCTTTGCTGTTGTTCTGGGATTGATTTGCACTTTTCGCACCAAAGTATGTTCATCTCTAGGAGACAGAGCGCGTCTCTTTCCTGAGCGGTATGACGGCTGCGTGGTCCCATGATGATTATACTTGCGTACTACTGTTTGAACAGATGAACGTGGTACCTTCAGGCGTTTGGAAATTGCTCCCAAGGATGAACCAGACTTGTAGAGGTCTACAATATTTTTTCTGAGGTCTTGGCTGATTTCCTTTGATTTTCCCATGATGTCAAGCAAAGAGGCACTGACTTTGAAGGTAGGCCTTGAAATACATCCACAGGTACACCTCCAATTGACTCAAATGATGTCAATTAGCCTATCAGAAGCTTCTAAAGCCATGACATCATTTTCTGGAATTTTCCAAGCTGTTTAAAGGCACAGTCAACTTAGTGTATGTCAACTTCTGACCCACTGGAATTGTGATACAGTGAATTATAAGTGAAATAATCTGTCTGTAAACAATTGTTGGAAAAATTACTTGTGTAATGCAAAAAGTAGATGTCCTAACCGACTTGCAAAAACAATAGTTTGTTAAAAAGAAATTTGTAGAGTGGTTGAAAAACTAGTTTTAATGACTGCAACCTAAGTGTATGGGCTGTCGCTGGGCAACACGGACTTTCAACTCTCTCCAAAGATTTTCTATGGGGTTGAGATCTGGAGACTGGCTAGGCCACTCCAGGACCTTGAAATGCTTCTTACGAAACTACTCCTTCGTTGCCCGGGCGGTGTGTTTGGGATCACTGTCATACTGAAAGACCCAGCCACGTTTCATCTTCAATGCCCTTGCTGATTGAAGGAGGTTTTCACTCAAAATCTCACGATACATGGCCCCATTCATTCTTTCCTTTACACGGATCAGTCGTCCTGGTCCCTTTGCAGAAAAACAGCCCCAAAGCATGATGTTTCCACCCCCATGCTTCACAGTAGGTATGGTGTTCTTTGGATGCAACTCAGCATTCTTTGTCCTCCAAACACGACGAGTTGAGTTTTTACCAAAAAGTTATATTTTGGTTTCATCTGACCATATGACATTCTCCCAATCCTCTTCTGGATCATCCAAATGCACTCTAGCAAACTTCAGACGGGCCTGGACATGTACTGGCTTAAGCAGGGGGACACGTCTGGCACTGTAGGATTTGAGTCACTGGCGGCGTAGTGTGTTACTGATGGTAGGCTTTGTTACTTTGGTCCCAGCTCTCTGCAGGTCATTCACAAGGTCCCCCCGTGTGGTTCTGGGATTTTTGCTCACCGTTCTTGTGATCATTTTGACCCCACGGGGTGAGATCTTGCGTGGAGCCCCAGATCGAGGGAGATTATCAGTGATCTTGTATGTCTTCCATTTCCTAATAATTGCTCCCACAGTTGATTTCTTCAAACCAAGCTACTTACCTATTGCAGATTCAGTCTTCCCAGCCTGGTGCAGGTCTACAATTTTGTTTCTGGTGTCCTTTGACAGCTCTTTGGTCTTGGCCATAGTGGAGTTTGGAGTGTGACTGTTTGAGGTTGTGGACAGGTGTCTTTTATACTGATAACAAGTTCAAACAGGTGCCATTAATACAGGTAACGAGTGGAGGACAGAGGAGCCTCTTAAAGAAGAAGTTACAGGTCTACCTCCCGAGTGGCGCAGTGGTCTAGCTGTGCCACTAGAGATCCTGGTTCGAATCCAGGCTCTGTCATAGCCGGCCGCGACCGGGAGACCCATGGGGCGGCGCACAATAGGCCCAGCGTCGTCCAGGGTAGGGGAGGGAATGGCCGGCAGGGATGTAGCTCAGTTGGTAGAGCATAGCGTTTGCAATGCCAGGGTTGTGGGTTCGATTCCCACGGGGTATGAAAAACAAAAACAAAAATAATGTATTCACTAACTGTAAGTCGCTCTGGATAAGAGTGTCTGCTAAATGACTAAAATTTAAATGTCTGTGAGAGCCAGAAATCTTGCTTGTTTGTAGGTGACCAAATACTTATTTTCCACCATAATTTGCAAATAAATGTATTAAAAATCCTACAATGTGATTTTCTGGAAAAAAAAATTTTTTTTTCTCAATTTGTCTGTCATAGTTGACGTGATGAAAATTACAGGCCTCTCATCTTTTTAAGTGGGAGAACTTGCACAATTGGTGGCTGACTAAATACTTTTTTTCCCCACTGTACATACATACACACACACACATATACACACACAACTTATTCGAATGTCACTCAACAACCGTAGGATGACATCAAGTGACCTACAAAAAGAATGGCAAACGGCAGCTGGGGTGAAGTGCACGGCGAGGACGGTTCGAAACAGGCTACTAGGGGCAGGGCTGAAGTCGTGCAAAGCTAGAAAAAAGCCCTTCATCAATGAGAAGCAAAGAAGAGCCAGGCTGAGGTTTGCAAAAGACCATCAGGATTGCACCGTAGAGGACTGGAGTAAGGTCATCTTCTCTGATGAGTCCAATTTTCAGCTTTGCCCAACACCTGGTCGTCTAATGGTTAGACGGAGACCTGGAGAGCCACAGTGTCTTGCACCCACTGTGAAATTTGGTGGAGGATCGGTGATGATCTGGGGGTGCTTCAGCAAGGCTGGAATTGGCCAGATTTGTCTTTGTGAAGGACGCATGAATCAAGCCACGTACAAGGTTGTCCTGGAAGAAAACTTGCTTCCTTTTGCTCTGACATTGTTCCCCAACTCTGAGAATTGTTTTTTCCAGCAGGACAATGCGCCATGCCACACAGCCAGGTCAATCAAGGTGTCGATGGAGGACCACCAG